AATAAATGCAGGGAGCTTAAGCTGCCACAAACAATTATTTTTGGATAGTCGACTAATCAGACTCATCATCCATCTGGACGTAAAACTACAGCTTATTGCACCAGCAGCATCTGCTCTTATATAACTATCATTAGCTTACAGCTTTAAGCTTTTAAGATGTGCTAACTAAAAATAAAGACAAGATGATAGTTTATTAAATTTTAATGAAATTCTGCAGATTGTTTCGGTGAAGTTTAATAAACTCCTTGCTATCTAAAATATAACAGGACACCGGAGTAATTCTCAGCATCTCACACTTCTGATAATCAGCTGTCTGCTTGACGTTTATTCAGCTGTGTAAAAACTATAACTTTAATCTCAGCCAAACCGATTTACTCAGGAACAAATAAAATACTAAAAAAAGCCAAACAATAACATTTTAAGTTATCTAAGTGACTCATATATCATGTTTAACCTGAGTAGCGAAAGACGGCGGTGGGTTTGAAAACGATTTGCCGGGAGTCCGGTGTTCTCACGGCGCTAGTGAGCCTGCCCCCGGCTCAGCTATCGAGCTAGTGGGTAACAGACGTCTCCGAAAACGTCGGAGCGCTTTTGAAAATATGTGGTGTCCTTGATAAACTGAGCAGATATTTGAGGTTTACACAGCTACATTCTCGCCGATATGTTAGAAACGTTTATCTGGTTGGACCAGAAAAAGAAAAGTCAAGAGAACATTAAACATGACTCGCATTGTTAATGTGAAGGCGCTAGTTTGGTATCTCTTTTGCTGCTGGTTGTACTAATATTGTTTGAGAGAGATAAACTAACAGCTTGTAGAATCAGCGCAAGAAAGGGCGTGAAACACAAAGCGGGACCCGCCGAATATCTCAGTAATTCAGCTGGAGTTCGGCTTTCAGCTCCTCGTGTCCGGTGCCGTCGCGGTGAGGAGAAGGCACATCTCACTGATTCTGTTATCCTGGGGTCCGCGTTTGTATGTTACTCTTTGTGAGGATTCCGGTGCTTCCTTGCTCTCATTTACTGTTTTAAATGTTTGTGGTTGTTGAAATTTTGAGGTTTCTACCTGAGATTCAGTGGCGTTTTAGGGCAAAATTAATAAAAAAAGTCGACTCAAGGATCGATAATCAGAATCAAACTTTATTGATCCCTGGGGGAAATTATTTTTTGTTACAGTGCTCCATTATAAACCAACATTAAGCAAGACAGACAATACGCTAACTAAGAATAGTACAATATATACATACATACATAAGTCACTCATAAATAAATAGCTGGAAAAGAAACATGTGTAGTTGTAGCAGTAACACAGTGTGTTAAGTGGATGCGTTGTACAGGGAGCCACAGGCAGGAAAGATTTCCTGTGTCGTTCAGTGGTGCTTATCGGGTAATCTCAGTCTCTCACTGAACGTGCTCCTGTGACTGACCAGCATGTCATGGAGTGGGTGGGAGGTGTTATCCAACATATGTCTTTATCTTGGACAGCATCCGCCTCTCCGACACCACCTTGAGGGTAGTCAAGCTCCATCCCCACAACATTCTGGCCTTACGGATTAGTTTATTAAGTCTGTTGGCATCTGCGACCCTCAGCCTGCTCCCCCAGCATGCAACAGCTAGCAGGATCGCTGCCACAACTAGGACCCTCTGCAGACTCAGACTCAGCATAAACAGTTTATGAAAGACTCCACACAGCTGGGGGGCACAGGTCTTGAGGACGAGGGGACTCACTCCGTCTGGTCCAGCAGACTTGCCTGAGTGAAGTCTCCTCATTTGCATCTCAACCTGGTATTGAGTGAAGGTGATGGGTGGGGGAGGGGTGTCAGGACTCTCACAGGAGGCAACAGCGCCATGTGAATCGATATCACGTTATCCAAGCCAGAATCGATTTTAATCGATGAATCGATTATTAAAACCCACCCCTCTGTTCAGATACTTCCAACAGGTGTATCTACTAAAAATCTCAGAATCTGTGACCTTGACCTCAGTGTCCCCAGTGTTTTGGGTTTTTTGTCTTGTCCCACAGGATTTTTAAATCTTTTGCTTGTTGAGATTCCTTACCTTCATTTTTTTCAGGACAAAGTGACAACAGTGACAAGTTTTCTGCATATTTTTACAGGATGACAAGAACAGCACTGGATCTCAGATGTGATATTGTTTATTGTGTCTGCAGATACCCAAGGAGGACGCACAGGCGTTTGCCAGAGAGAACAGGATCCACTACATGGAGGCCTCGGCGAAGAATCGCTTCAATGTTGATGAAGCCTTCTTGGAGCTTGTGCATATTATTAGGTACAGCCCTTATTTATGAAAGTTTGTTTTAGTTCACGTCCCTGCTGGGACTAGCGTCGTTTGAAGCTTTGTAAGATCACAAAAGACGCAGGAATAAGTAGCAGGATTTAAGAGTGTAATAACGCACTGAAACAGAAGATGGCAGCACTGCATGTACAGCTCAGTTTCCAACAATGGCGGCAGCTAGTTAGTTTTAATATTACTCTTATTATTCTTTCTGGGTCACAAAATAAACGTTTAACATATTTTCAGGTGAGAATGTAGCTGTGTAAACCTCAAATATCTGCTCAGTTTATCAAGGACACCCATATTTTCAAAAGCGCTCCGACGTTTTCGGAGACGTCTGTTACCCACTAGCTCGATAGCTAGCCGGGGGCTAGGCTCACTAGAGCCGTGAGAACACCGGACTCCCGGCAAATCGTTTTCAAACCCACCGCCGTCTTTCGCTACTCAGGTTAAACATGATATATAGTCACTTAGATAACTTAAAAATGTTATTGTTTGGCTTTTTTAGTATTTTATTTGTTCCTGAGTAAATCGGTTTGGCTGAGATTAAAGTTATAGTTTTTACACAGCTGAATAAACGTCAAGCAGACAACTGATTATCAGAAGTGTGAGATGCTGGAGAATATTACTCCGGTGTCCTGTTATATTTTAGATAGCAAGGAGTTTATTAAACTTCACCGAAACAATCTGCAAATTTCATTAAAATTTAATAAACTATCATCTTGTCTTTATTTTTAGTTAGACACCTTAAACACTTAAAGCTGTAAGCTAATGATAGTTATATAAGAGCAGATGCTGCTGGTGCAATAAGCTGTACGTTTTACGTCCAATGGATGATGATCTGATTAGTCGACTAATCGCAAAAATAATCGGTGACTATCGCTATCAGGAAAAATCGTCAGTGGTCACCTAATGATTACAGCAGTGTTTCCCAGGACTAATCAGGTGGAACCAGATAATCTAACACGGCACCCGAAGGACCACCGGCGTGAGTAACGGGCAGACAATGACGTTCTCTTCCACTAGAGGGCAGTACAACCACCTGCTCTAATAAATGTGTTGCCAACTAAGTAAAACAGAAGAAGACGAAGAAGAACTTAAATAACAGTCATGGTGTGTAGACGCATACGCGATAATAATTTAAAAAGAAAGTGTTCAGTCTGACCTGGTCCTGGAGAAAACGCGACCCAGATGAAGGCCCTAGCATGAGTAGTGGTCAGAAGGAAGCAACAAAGGTATACTGGGACAAACCGAGCCAGTTCTGCTATATTTGGTGGAAGAATGATCCGTATGGTTTTTGACATGTCTGTTTAGTGGAGTGCTGCGGGATTTTTCTAATGTGAAATATGAACCATGCCTCTAAAGCCTGGGAAACACGTGTATTACAGCACCATTACCAACTTGGGTTTAGTATTCATATTTTGGCACTGGGCAAATGTTGGCATGGCATTTTATAACCAAAGCTAACAAATTGTGTCAAAACCTGTGACAACAGATACATCGTTGGATTTCGTGACCAAGAATTTTTCTTACATTATTCAAGCCAGCATCATATATGGTTGATACTGAATCGCCTCTGTGAATAGGAGCAAAGTGTGAGGATGATTAATCCCTTTATCTGTTCTCCTGCTTTACAGACAGTTTCAGGAGATGGAGAGCCCTCCTCCAACTCATCACACAGGGAAGGAGAAAAGTCGTGGCTGTCCCTGTGTCATCCTTTAAGCACTATTATTACGAATACCAAAGCCTCATTCCTCTGCAGAAAGGTGTTTTTGTGTGTACATATGAGTGTGTATGTGCGCAAGAGAGAAGGTGGATCAGTTTCTTTCCAGATGATTACATTTGCACTTTTGTTAAAAGCAACATTTAATTTGGTTTAATTTTAAGTAGAGAACTGAAAGGAAGAGGTGTGAGCAGCAGCAGGGCGGCACTTGTGACGCAGATTAATAATAACGTTACAACACAAATCATAATTTGTGTCCACAAATAGAAATATCACCAAAAAATGTAGTATATAATTCACTCTTCAGTGATGCTATTTTAAACAAATCCAGATACCAGCATCTGCAACACCACGGCATCCATAACTGTCTGAAGAAATGACATTAAATGTGATATGTGCAAAAATTAGCATGTCATAAATGGACAAATGCTGATTTTCCCCTTGGCATGGCTTCGTATGTTAAGTCGTAAGGGCCAAAGCAATGCCATTTTCCATGCCCTCCTGCAAGGGGCAGGAGAGCTCCAAAGAAGTATTATTATTCAAGACAAAAAGAAGAATCATAGCAGAAGCTGGAGTCAGTCTCAAAAGACGAACAATATTGAATACATCCATGAATAACATGTCATTTAAGATCCTGATCAAATGACAGTATTGGCCATGTGTTGTGCGATGGCTGCATCGTTGCATCGTGGTACTCTATACTATGTATTTGGGGGGTTTTGTACTTTTTCTTTGTATTTCTCTACTTTATCATCGTAATTGTGAAAATGCAGTATAAGCGTTTTGAGTGCTCCAGTGTAGTAGAAAGTGCTACAGAAGAACCTGTCCATATACTGGAAGGGTGTGGTCACAACTTCGTGGGTCTCCAGGTGGCAAGAAGCGTCCTAAGAACAATTAAGATACTGAACAGAACCCGAAAATATATTGAATTAAGTCACTTTTATAAACTATTAAAACATTTATCTGAACTTTATTTTTCTTTTGTCTTTTCTCATAAATGTCTCATTGTAAACTTTGTGTCACCTTTTACTGTCAGTCTATGAATTTCAGAGAATTTACACCACCGACTGTGGTCTGTTCTGAAACAGTGATGTGTCGTGAAGTGCTCACAATCGTTCAAAAGCTTCAAAAGCGTTGTCTTGTTGTGAACGTCCCATAGAGTCTTAGCAACAAATGTAGACCCGTATAACCGAGTTCCCCACAAGGACAAGGACCCGATGACCCTAATCGTCCGGTGTGAAGTGTGGTCCATCAGATCGAGCATTGGAATCCACCTTATCATGTGATTTCCTGAGGTCAGATGGCCCAGGATGTGAGTGGGCGTTAAGGCGTCTGGGGGGATCTCAAAACTGGATTATAGATGGCAGAGAGTTGGTGTCGTAAACCCCGCCTCTGTTCAAAGATGGTCGCTCACAGTGGACATAGATGCTTCTTTCACTCCTCTTTCAAACCATCTGTCCTCTCTGTCCAAAATGTGAACATTGGCATCCTCAAAGAGTGACCTTTGACCTTTAGATGCAGATGGACTGCTGAGTCTTGTCCTGTGGAGGTGGCTCTTCTGTGTTGTGCCATGCGCTTGTGAAGTGGCTGTTTGGTCTCTCCAATGTAGAGGTCTGAGCATTCCTCGCTGCACTGTACAGCATACACCACATTGTTAAGTTTGTGTTTTGGCGTTTTGTCTTTCGGGTGAACCAGTTTCTGTCTGAGGTATTGTTGTCACTGAGGAGTGTAGTGATCTTTGTGTGGTAATCCGTTGTGTTTGGAACAACAGTGCACCTTCCCTTGCCAGCTGGTAATATGGTGATGTTGTGGTCTTTGCTCAGGGAAGCGATGGCCTTCTTCTCTTGTATTGTGAGGTTACATGGACGGACTTTAGCACTGGGGAGGGAGGCTGAAACTTTCACTCTGCTTTCTGTCTTGTGATCATTTATTAATCCTTGGCAGTGTTCTGTGGCTGTGATGAGGTCCACTATGGGCAACTGTTGTAGGAGAAATGGCAAAATTGAGTCCTTTGCTAATACTTTCTTTTCAGGTTCAGTGAGATTCCTGAAAGAGTTCTTAAGGTCCCTTTCTCCTCTTGGGCTTAAATTTGGGACTTTCCACCATTTGACCTTAGAACTGAAGAAGCTTCTCGGATGAGAGGTGAAATGTCTTCAAGCAACTTAAAGAAGTCCAGACGCTTTTCCCTCCAAGCTCCTTAGACCAGCGCTGCCCAACCCCGGGCCACGGACTGGTACCGGGCCGCGAGAGTTGAGGCTCGGGTGTGAAATGTATGGTTTTCAGGGTTTTTATCGTTAACTCGGTTTCCCCTGGGTTTTTTCCGTGTTGTATTGTGTGTCTTATTTTGAAAGAAATATGTATGCGTTACCATAGCGACCAGAGAGCATTAAGGGCGAGAGGAGGAGTTACTCTATGTTGTTGAGCGCATTTCAGGAGGACGCTGCTAATAAAGTTACACAATTACACAGTGAATTCTACGTTTATTATTATATTTACAAAATACCAGTTTTTGTCTCGGTCGTATCATTTTGTTGTATTTATCCGCCTTAAAGGCCGGTCCGTGAAAATATTGTCTGACATTATTTGGTATTTAAAATATTTATATGGTATTTAATTGTTAATTAATCTAACGCCCATAGACAGGTGACGTCACCCTGTGGTTTTTGCCGTGGCGTTTTGGAGCTGATGTTACAAGCGATGACTGGAGCTGCATGTTGTTGGTTAACAACTTGTTAACTGATGATCACATATGTAAAATATGGACAAACAAGACGCGTTTCTATAGACGAACACGGGGGTTTACTCGCTGAGAGTCCACGCAGACGTCCGTCCTCGGTTTGTTGAAATGATCCACATGAGAACAATAAATGTATCATTTCCTGCCGTGACGTACCGACACTAGTGTTTCACTGTTTCAGTAAAACTTCACACTGTGGATCCGCGCTCCCTGCCCTGTGCGCGCTCCCGACGCAGGGGATGGGGGGATACCCTAGCTTGGCACGGCAGGTTAAAGGCTGTTTCTACACTCGCTTCTATAGTTACAAGGCAGACGTGTGTTGCTTGTGTATTGGACATGTTGACATAGACAGCATATTGTGAGTAAACAGTGAAACCGGTTTGTGGAGGCTCCTCCCTTCAGGTGCAATGCTGTCCGACAGGTTTATTGTTTCCTGATCGTCTCAGCGCAATAAAGTGCGCAATGAAGTGGAGTAACTACTAGCTCTGTTTTTGGTGAAACCAAGAGAAATACGTTTGTTTTTCTTCAAGAAAGCTTTGACAGATGGAACAAACTGGAGCCAAATGGAGCAGCTGTGTTGGACAGGTCAGTGTTGGAGGAGCATCTTCATACTCGGGCTTCTAACTACAAGTGTTTTCACAGGTGCTCTTGCACTTTTTCCTGTGTAGTTTTGTGCTTCGACAGCCGCGTTATTGTTGCTGTGGATGAACGGACTGTCCCTCGTGCAGATGGCCCACTGCTCCGTCATATACAGACACCAACCAGGTAACCCACACCTGTCTCCTGTCACTTCATAAAAATTAGCTTTATAATTTGTGGTAATGCTTCAGTTACACAAACGTGCCATGCAACAACAGCACGACTAGAGGAAAACCAAACTGCTCTTCTGTGAATCTGAGTAGTTTATTGCCATTAAACATCAGATGTTAAGTAAAATTAGAAGCAGCTCCTTGGTAGCAGAATTAGAATAAATACAAAAAAAAATTTGCATATAGGCACCTACTGCTTCCTATGAAGGCAGTATAGGTGCCATTAAGAAAAAGCAAACAAAACATTGTTGTTAGAAATAATCAAAATTTCGAAAGTGTAGATACATTAAGACAAACTGCCACGGCTGCATCATTACTAAAATTAAATCAATGTATAGTATTTGTTAATGTAAAATAGTTATAAATCTACTTAAATGTAAGATATATGTTGTTTTAATGTTATAATATTTATATGTTAATATGTATGAATTTTATATAAATATATAATATATATATATATATATAATATATAATATATATATATAGTATATAATATATGATATTCTATATGTATATACATTCTGCTTTGTGTAGATGAGCGGTGAAGTTGCTACTTCAGACATCAGTTTCATCACTAGGAATTGATTTCTCTTTAAGCACATAAACACAGTGGTGATGAGCAGGGCGCCATGAGGAGGAGAAAGGCAACCAGTCCTAATGCTCCATCCTACCTCTCTGTATGACCCAACTTCTAGTACGCTGGGCCTGCACAGCTCACTTGGATTGTTTGTGGTACAGATTGAAAAAAGTACTGGAAACATTAGCATCACACAGTTGTTCATCCACATATACACAATACAAATGTCTCATTCCCCCACATCGCTAACATGCTCCTTTGGAGTGAGATGTGACTGTGGTTGTCAGCATGAATCTCCAGGTAGGCTGTGCGTGAAACTAAACCTTGGTCAGCTGGAACTAACAGTCCCACAGCACCGAGCACCACAGGAAGCAGAATCCTGAAAGGATCTTTCACAGATACCTTAATACCACGCTACCATCTGAATGTTGCAGCAGAAATCAAGACTTATCACAGCAGGCAGCATTTTCTAATCTTCTGTGGTCTAATTTTGGTGAGCGTGTGTGTGAATTATACCTTCATTAGATCAGAAGTGTCAGAAATACTCAGCAACAACAACATTATTATTAATAACAATAATTACAATTATAATTCATAATATACATTTTTAGAAGTTGATAGGGAGACTGCTACCACACTGAAAATCTCCCGTTAGCATTAAAGTAGGTCCATGATGGACCTCCACAGAAAATTAGCATTCAAATGTAAATAACCCAGTTTTGTCCAGTTTCAGCCACCAGACACTCTCAGCTTTCACAGTTTGTTTTTTGTGATTTTGTGTGAAATCATAACACAACGTTGTTGTTGACGGCTATTTTTTTTAACATTTACATATGTGTGTGCAAGAAAATGCCGCTTCACTGTAAATGTGTTGGAACCGATTATCAGAGATGTGAATTTGGGAGCTCCTGAAATGCACTTATAAGTACTTGTTTACTGAAGTCAAAGCTTTGTTTGTGGAGAGCACAAGAGTTTTTAAGGATTACAATTTGAATCACCATTACTAGACTAAGCACGCACAGGAATACAAAAACTAACGAAGAGCAGAAATGGACATCTGAGCTCGAAAGCAACAAGGACTTTTTGCCAAGTTACTCATCCAGCGATGGAGCAGTCAAAACCAGCTTTGTGATTTTAAACAGAATCACAGAAAACCCCAGTATCCCACTGTCTGAGGAGTGTTTGGTGGGGTCTGATGGCTGAAGCTCCCTGAGTACATTTGAGAATGCATCCCTCGCCACATGAACCATAAAAAGAGGGGTCAGAGATACTGCAGGAAATCTGGAGCTTAGACAACAGACTAGAGAGTTTGACTTTTGATGTCCGTATGAGTTATGTTTTTGATTATCAGTGACAGTGAACTACACCCTGTAGGAGATCCAGTGTTGGTGGATGAGACAGAAGCTGCATCCTTCCTGTCCCGTTCACTGCTCTATAACAGCTGGGACTTTGAGCTGGTTGTGCCTGGTGATGTGGAGAGGGAGTGCATGGAAGAGATTTGCAACTACGAGGAAGCCAGAGAGATTTTTGAGGACACTGCGAAGACGGTGACTCTTCTTTGACTGTAGAACCTGTTTTTAATCTGGAGTCTTAGAATGAAAAACTATCAATTTAATTTAACAATTATTTACACTTTTATCACCTAAATATACATGTTTTTTTTATTTTAATATTTAAAATACAAAACCTTTTCTCTTAGTATTTGAGCAATTTGACTTAACTTATTCAAGGTGACCTCTTCATTTAATCTTCATTGGCTTCCATTTCTAGGAAAAATTTTGGAAAACGTACACCAATCAAGGTAATACTTTAGCATCACTATGCTAACCTTTTCATTTCATTGTTCAAATGTGCATACTAATGACGAATGTATTTTTTGTAGTAGTTGGGATGACACTTTCTTTTTTCCATATTGCTATTTTTTGTCGATTGTATATTTTGTATATTTTCTAATTTTGCTGTTTTATCTACGTCTTCAAACCTCCAACAGTATCACGACTGAAGTCATTGCTGTAGTGATTGGCTACAGATTGTCTGACTGAGTAACAGGAGAACTATTGAAGAAACATTTTTTGAGTGGGGTGATGATGTTTGTCTTTGAAGGTAGTGCAAACAGACTGGACGTGTCAGGTCTGGTGGCAGGGATCCTGGCTGTACTAGTGTCTGCTGTAATTGCCACGGTGCTGGGAGTGTACTGCTACAAAGCCAAGAAAAAGGGTGCACGGAGGTCTGGCCGGTACGTTTGCTCCGATGTGGATCATCTGGTAACAGAGAAATGTGGAACAAAGTGACACCCTAACCGACACCAGTAACATTTCCCAGTAAAGTCTTTTAAAAACCAGTAGACCATTAAAAAAAATACAAAGTAGACAAGAAGACAATATTAATCCCTTAATCTTAATCCAGAGTTTGTGCAAATTTATAATTATTTATTGTTATTTTTCCCTTAAAGGTCCAGGGGATGTGGGAAAGTAACACAAAGTGTCCGGGTTGAAAAAAGGAGACATGAAGGCAGAATTGTTTATTAAAGTTTATTAATATTTTTATTAGTAATTAAACCAAAGAGATGGACAAACCGACTATCACCTATTTAAAAAATGAAAGAACAAAACCCAAAGAGCATAAAGACACAACCGTCAATCATATAAAAGCGCGCAAGATCATCACAAAAACTTATCATGATCGTATAATATGACACGAAAATACCAGAACATCACTATTCCGCCTAGCATGGATGCTATCAACAGCAGAGCGTGTAGTCATGCCCTCTTATCGCAAGGCATATTGGCTATGTGTCACTGACCGAGAAGAAACAACACTCACGCTACCCCAGCACAACCATGAAATTACACGACAACCTATATTACTATTTTGGTTTGATATATATTTCAGAGAACTTTGTCACCGGACTATGAGACCGCCTGTATCACTCACGAGTAATCATAGATCTTATCTGAAGCATGCCTCACCTCTAGCCGCTACGTAGAAGAACTCTCCGTCTCTATTTGAATTCACCACACTTAAAATTCGAGCATTTGAAATTATTGCACAAAAGTCTCATTGCGATGTCTAAAAGGACTCAATCAACTCAGCAAACTAGTTAATCGCAAGTGCGCTGAAATCAGCATTTGATAAAGAAATCCAGCAAAGATTTCTGGCACAACTTCACCTGCTTCCAAGGTGCATGGAGAGGATGAAAGAATTCACAAAGCAGGAACTCCAGCAACACTTAAGGGAAGATGAACAACTTTAATAATTGACCAACGCGTTTCGGCTTGTGGCCTTCATCAGGGTCACAAGCTGAAACGCGTCAGTCACTTAGTAAAGTTGTTCATCTTCCATCCAGAATCAGAAAACTTTATTGATCACTAAGGAAATGATGTAGGTTACAGTTGCTCCAAGACACTAACAGACTAAAAAATTAAACAATACAATTTGTCACAGACTTTACAAATTTAAGAAATAGCACTAATTTATGCAAATCACTCAGTTATACCTATAAGGATTAGGAATAGGTGGCACCTAAGGCAGGGCACATGCTTAGTGTCTGACCTCACAGATGTGCTTCAGGAAAAATGGTCGAAACCTCCTGAACCTTCTCTGGAAAACCTTCCCAGAAGAGTTGAAGCTGTTATAGCTGCTAACGGTGGGCCGGCATCATATTAATCCCATGGATTAGAAATGGGATATCAGCCCAGTTTACATGACCAAATACAGGCAGACGACTAAATACTTTTGGCAATATAGTGTATAAACATTTTCACGTTTTTATGTTTGTTTATTAGCAATACAGCAACTAAAGGGGTTTAAAATTGGCGTGTTGTGCTGTGTGCTGTTCCAGACCTCCAGTACAAATTGCAGTAGATGGGCATACAATACAGCAACTAAAGGGGTTTAACGTGTTGTGCTGTGTGCTGTTCCAGACCTCCAGTACAAATTGCAGTAGATGGGCATACATCAGCTCCGGAGACGGTGCCCCTAGGTGGGATCACTGCACCCGGTCTGCCTAGCTACAACGATGCCCTGAACCACAGTGGGCAGCACGATGCTCCACCACCACCATATTCAGGGTAAGTGGAAGGCAAAGCGTGCACACACAAGGAACACTGGAAAGACTGACTACCAAGAGTACTAAGACATTCTGGTGAGAGAAGCACAACACATGTTGTGTATTTATACACGGGAAGGTGACTAATTGGAAACAGGTGTAACAAATTCAACACAAGTGAAACTGATTGAGTAAAGACACAATTACAAAGAAGGGAAAGCAAGCAGGTTGCAGATGAGTGTTTAATTTAACTGTCAAATGTACTCATGTTTGCAGTAAATGAAATGGCATACAAATTTGAAATATTTGTATAGATATTGGCACTTGGTGTCCCAGGCAATGTCTAAAAAACTTTGGTCCACTTATCTAGAAGATGAAGAACATGGAACCATCCATATATGCACTACACTGATTATAGTATGATAATCAATGACAATCATGATGCGAGAAAGTCTATATGAGTGGTGTAAAGTGGTGTATGCAGTGGTGTTTGCAAGTGTATGGTATGTGTTGTATGTGCACATCGAAAATGAAATGATACTTCAAACAATACCAAATGTGTGTGATGGCATGAAGAAAGCAATCACACATTCACTTCAATTCAATCCAATTTTATTTATACAGCTCAAAATCACAACAACAGTCATATTGTGCAGTAGATCCTACAACAATACATACAGAGAAAAACCCAACAATCATATGACCCCCTATGAGCAGCACTTTGGCGACAGTGGGAAGGAAAAACTCCCTTTTAACAGGAAGAAACCTCCAGCAGAACCAGGCTCAGGGAGGGGCGGGGCCATCTGCTGCGACCGGTTGGGGTGAGAGAAGGAAGACAGGATAAAGACATGCTGTGGAAGAGAGACAGAGGTTAATAACAGATATGATTCAATGCAGAGAGGTCTGTTAACACATAGTGAGTGAGAAAGGTGACTGGAAAGGAAAAACTCAATGCATCATGGGAATCCCCCGGCAGCCTACGTCTATTGCAGCATAACTAAGGGAGGATTCAGGGTCACCTGGTCCAGCCCTAACTATATGCTTTAGCAAAAAGGAAAGTTTGAAGCCTAATCTTGAAAGTAGAGATAGTGTCTGTCTCCTGAATCCAAACTGGAAGCTGGTTCCACAGAAGAGGGGCCTGAAAACTGAAGGCTCTGCCTCCCATTCTACTTTTAAATACTCTAGGAACAACAAGTAGGCCTGCAGAGCGAGAGCGAAGTGCTCTAATAGGGTGATATGGTACTACAAGGTCATTAAGATAAGATGGGGCCTGATTATTTAAGACCTTGTATGTGAGGAGCAGGATTTTGAATTCTGGATTTAACAGGAAGCCAAAACAGGAGAAATCTGCTCTCTCTTTCTAGTCCCTGTCAGGACTCTTGCTGCAGCATTTTGGATCAGCTGAAGGCTTTTCAGGGAGTTTTTAGGACTTCCTGATAATAATGAATTACAGTCGTCCAGCCTGGAAGTAATAAATGCATGAACTAGTTTTTCAGCGTCACTCTGAGACAGGATATTTCTAACTTTAGAGATGTTGCACAAATGGAAGAAAGCAGTCTTACATATTTGTTTAATATGTGCGTTGAAGGACATGTCCTGGTCAAAAATGACTCCTTTTCTTTAATAGGAACGATCTCTCTCTTTGGATGGGTAATCTCAGTCTCTCACTGAACGTGCTCCTGTGACTGACCAGCATGTCATGGAGTGGGTGGGAGGTGTTATCCAACATAGTCTTTATCTTGGACAGCATCCGCCTCTCCGACACCACCTTGAGGGAGTCCAGCTCCATCCCCACAACATTGCTGGCCTTACGGATTAGTTTATTAAGTCTGTTGGCATCTGCGACCCTCAGCCTGCTCCCCCAGCATGCAACAGCGTGCCAGTGATGTCTTCCACATCACTGGGACCCTCTGCAGACTCAGACTCAGCATAAACAGTTTATGAAAGACTCCACTCAGCTGGGGGGCACAGGTCTTGAGGACGCGGGGACTCACTCCGTCTGGTCCAGCAGACTTGCCTGAGTGAAGTCTCCTCATTTGCATCTCAACCTGGTATTGAGTGAAGGTGATGGGTGGGGGAGGGGTGTCAGGACTCTCACAGGAGGCAACAGCGCCATGTGAATCGATATCACGTTATCCAAGCCAGAATCGATTTTAATCGATGAATCGATTATTAAAACCCACCCCTCTGTTCAGATACTTCCAACAGGTGTATCTACTAAAAATCTCAGAATCTGTGACCTTGACCTCAGTGTCCCCAGTGTTTTGGGTTTTTTGTCTTGTCCCACAGGATTTTTAAATCTTTTGCTTGTTGAGATTCCTTACCTTCATTTTTTTCAGGACAAAGTGACAACAGTGACAAGTTTTCTGCATATTTTTACAGGATGACAAGAACAGCACTGGATCTCAGATGTGATATTGTTTATTGTGTCTGCAGATACCCAAGGAGGACGCACAGGCGTTTGCCAGAGAGAACAGGATCCACTACATGGAGGCCTCGGCGAAGAATCGCTTCAATGTTGATGAAGCCTTCTTGGAGCTTGTGCATATTATTAGGTACAGCCCTTATTTATGAAAGTTTGTTTTAGTTCACGTCCCTGCTGGGACTAGCGTCGTTTGAAGCTTTGTAAGATCACAAAAGACGCAGGAATAAGTAGCAGGATTTAAGAGTGTAATAACGCACTGAAACAGAAGATGGCAGCACTGCATGTACAGCTCAGTTTCCAACAATGGCGGCAGCTAGTTAGTTTTAATATTACTCTTATTATTCTTTCTGGGTCACAAAATAAACGTTTAACATATTTTCAGGTGAGAATGTAGCTGTGTAAACCTCAAATATCTGCTCAGTTTATCAGGACACCGACATATTTTCAAAAGCGCTCCGACGTTTTCGGAGACGTCTGTTACCCACTAGCTCGATAGCTAGCCGGGGGCTAGGCTCACTAGCGCGTGAGAACACCGGACTCCCGGCAAATCGTTTTCAAACCCACCGCCGTCTTTCGCTACTCAGGTTAAACATGATATATGAGTCACTTAGATAACTTAAAAATGTTATTGTTTGGCTTTTTTAGTATTTTATTTGTTCCTGAGTAAATCGGTTTGGCTGAGATTAAAGTTATAGTTTTTACACAGCTGAATAAACGTCAAGCAGACAGCTGATTATCAGAAGTGTGAGATGCTGGAGAATTATACTCCGGTGTCCTGTTATATTTTAGATAGCAAGGAGTTTATTAAACTTCACCGAAACAATCTGCAAATTTCATTAAAATTTAATAAACTATCATCTTGTCTTTATTTTTAGTTAGCACAGACCTTAAACACTTAAAGCTGTAAGCTAATGATAGTTATATAAGAGCAGATGCTGCTGGTGCAATAAGCTGTACGTTTTACGTCCAATGGATGATGATCTGATTAGTCGACTAATCATAAAAATAATCGGTGACTATGCTGTAGGAAGCAGTGGTCACTCTTATTACAGCAGTGTTTCCCAGGACTAATCAGGTGGAACCAGATAATCTAACACGGCACTCCGAAGCCACCGGCGTGAGTAACGGGCAGCAATGACATTCTCTTCCACTAGAGGGCAGTACAACCACCTGCTCTAATAAATGTGTTGCCAACTAAGTAAAACAGAAGAGGACAAAGAAGAACTTAAATAACAGTCATGCTGTGAGACTATGCAGCGCATAACAGCGATAGATAAATTTAAAAAGAAAAAGTGTTCAGTCTGACCTGGTCCTGGAGAAAACGCGACCCAGATGAAGGCCCTAGCATGAGTAGTGGTCAGAAGGAAGCAACAAAGGTATACTGGGACAAACAGAGCCAGTTCTGCTATATTTGGTGGAAGAATGATCCGTATGGTTTTTGACATTTCTGTTTAGTGGAGTGCTGCGGGATTTTTCTAATGTGAAATATGAACCATGCCTCTAAAGCCTGGGAAACACTGTATTACAGCACCATTACCAACTTGGGTTTAGTATTCATATTTTGGCACTGGGCAAATGTTGGCATGGCATTTTATAACCAAAGCTAACAAATTGTGTCAAAACCTGTGACAACAGATACATCGTTGGATTTCGTGACCAAGAATTTTTCTTACATTATTCAAGCCAGCATCATATATGGTTGATACTGAATCGCCTCTGTGAATAGGAGCAAAGTGTGAGGATGATTAATCCCTTTATCTGTTCTCCTGCTTTACAGACAGTTTCAGGAGATGGAGAGCCCTCCTCCAACTCATCACACAGGGAAGGAGAAAAGTCGTGGCTGTCCCTGTGTCATCCTTTAAGCACTATTATTACGAATACCAAAGCCTCATTCCTCTGCAGAAAGGTGTTTTTGTGTGTACATATGAGTGTGTATGTGCGCAAGAGAGAAGGTGGATCAGTTTCTTTCCAGATGATTACATTTGCACTTTTGTTAAAAGCAACATTTAATTTGGTTTAATTTTAAGTAGAGAACTGAAAGGAAGAGGTGTGAGCAGCAGCAGGGCGGCACTTGTGACGCAGATTAATAATAACGTTACAACACAAATCATAATTTGTGTCCACAAATAGAAATATCACCAAAAAATGTAGTATATAATTCACTCTTCAGTGATGCTATTTTAAACAAATCCAGATACCAGCATCTGCAACACCACGGCATCCATAACTGTCTGAAGAAATGACATTAAATGTGATATGTGCAAAAATTAGCATGTCATAAATGGACAAATGCTGATTTTCCCCTTGGCATGGCTTCGTATGTTAAGTCGTAAGGGCCAAAGCAATGCCATTTTCCATGCCCTCCTGCAAGGGGCAGGAGAGCTCCAAAGAAGTATTATTATTCAAGACAAAAAGAAGAATCATAGCAGAAGCTGGAGTCAGTCTCAAAAGACGAACAATATTGAATACATCCATGAATAACATGTCATTTAAGATCCTGATCAAATGACAGTATTGGCCATGTGTTGTGCGATGGCTGCATCGTTGCATCGTGGTACTCTATACTATGTATTTGGGGGGTTTTGTACTTTTTCTTTGTATTTCTCTACTTTATCATCGTAATTGTGAAAATGCAGTATAAGCGTTTTGAGTGCTCCAGTGTAGTAGAAAGTGCTACAGAAGAACCTGTCCATATACTGGAAGGGTGTGGTCACAACTTCGTGGGTCTCCAGGTGGCAAGAAGCGTCCTAAGAACAATTAAGATACTGAACAGAACCCGAAAATATATTGAATTAAGTCACTTTTATAAACTATTAAAACATTTATCTGAACTTTATTTTTCTTTTGTCTTTTCTCATAAATGTCTCATTGTAAACTTTGTGTCACCTTTTACTGTCAGTCTATGAATTTCAGAGAATTTACACCACCATCTACGAACTGTTGTGTCTGTGTGCTGACACACAACAGTAGCAGTGTGTCTGTGAAGGTGCTCATCCAGGTCACCTTATCATGTGATTTCCTGAGGTCAGATGGCCCAGGATGTGAGTGGGCGTTAAGGCGTCTGGGAAGGGATCTCAAAACTGGATTATAGATGGCAGAGAGTTGGTGTCGTAAAGCCCCGCCTCTGTTCAAAGATGGTCGCTCACAGTGGACATAGATGCTTCTTTCACTCCTCTTTCAAACCATCTGTCCTCTCTGTCCAAAATGTGAACATTGGCATCCTCGAAAGAGTGACCTTTGACCTTTAGATGCAGATGGACTGCTGAGTCTTGTCCTGTGGAGGTGGCTCTTCTATGTTGTGCCATGCGCTTGTGAAGTGGCTGTTTGGTCTCTCCAATGTAGAGGTCTGAGCATTCCTCGCTGCACTGTACAGCATACACCACATTGTTAAGTTTGTGTTTTGGCGTTTTGTCTTTCGGGTGAACCAGTTTCTGTCTGAGGTATTGTTGTCACTGAGGAGTGTAGTGATCTTTGTGTGGTAATCCGTTGTGTTTGGAACAACAGTGCACCTTCCCTTGCCAGCTGGTAATATGGTGATGTTGTGGTCTTTGCTCAGGGAAGCGATGGCCTTCTTCTCTTGTATTGTGAGGTTACATGGAGGGACTTTAGCACTGGGGAGGGAGGCTGAAACTTTCAGCTCTGTTTCTGTTTGTGATCATTTATTAATCCTTGTGGTGGTTTCTGTGGCTGTGATGAGGTCCACTATGGGCAACTGTTGAGGAGAAATGGCAAAATTAAGTCCTTTGTCTAACACTTTCTTTTCAGGTTCAGTGAGATTCCTGAAGAGGATCATTAAGGGGTCCTTTGTCCCTCTTGGGCTTAAATTTGGGACTTTCCACCATTTGACCTTAGAACTGAAGAAGCTTCTCGGATGAGAGGTGAAATGTCTTCAAGCAACTTAAAGAAGTCCAGACGCTTTTCCCTCCAAGCTCCTTAGACCAGCGCTGCCCAACCCCTGGGCCACGGACTGGTACCGGGCCGCGAGAGTTGAGGCTCGGGTGTGAAATGTATGGTTTTCAGGGTTTTTATCGTTAACTCTGTTCCCCTGGGTTTTTTCCGTGTTGTAGTTGTGTGTCTTATTTTGAAAGAAATATGCACGCGTTACCATAGCGACCAGAGAGCATTAAGGGGCGGAGAGGAGGACGTTACTCTCAGTGTTGACGCATTTCAGGAGGAAGCTGCTAATAAAGTTACACAATTACACAGTGAATTCACGTTTATTATGATATTTACAAAATACCAGTGTTTTTGTCTCGGTCGTATCATTTTGTTGTATTTATCCGCCTTAAAGGCCGGTCCGTGAAAATATTGTCTGACATTATTTGGTATTTAAAATATTTATATGGTATTTAATTGTTAATTAATCTAACGCCCATAGACAGGTGACGTCACCCTGTGGTTTTTGCCGTGGCGTTTTGGAGCTGATGTTACAAGCGATGACTGGAGCTGCATGTTGTTGGTTAACAACTTGTTAACTGATGATCACATATGTAAAATATGGACAAACAAGACGCGTTTCTATAGACGAACACGGGGGTTTACTCGCTGAGAGTCCACGCAGACGTCCGTCCTCGGTTTGTTGAAATGATCCACATGAGAACAATAAATGTATCATTTCCTGCCGTGACGTACCGACACTAGTGTTTCACTGTTTCAGTAAAACTTCACACTGTGGATCCGCGCTCCCTGCCCTGTGCGCGCTCCCGACGCAGGGGATGGGGGGATACCCTAGCTTGGCACGGCAGGTTAAAGGCTGTTTCTACACTCGCTTCTATAGTTACAAGGCAGACGTGTGTTGCTTGTGTATTGGACATGTTGACATAGACAGCATATTGTGAGTAAACAGTGAAACCGGTTTGTGGAGGCTCCTCCCTTCAGGTGCAATGCTGTCCGACAGGTTTATTGTTTCCTGATCGTCTCAGCGCAATAAAGTGCGCAATGAAGTGGAGTAACTACTAGCTCTGTTTTTGGTGAAACCAAGAGAAATACGTTTGTTTTTCTTCAAGAAAGCTTTGACAGATGGAACAAACTGGAGCCAAATGGAGCAGCTGTGTTGGACAGGTCAGTGTTGGAGGAGCATCTTCATACTCGGGCTTCTAACTACAAGTGTTTTCACAGGTGCTCTTGCACTTTTTCCTGTGTAGTTTTGTGCTTCGACAGCCGCGTTATTGTTGCTGTGGATGAACGGACTGTCCCTCGTGCAGATGGCCCACTGCTCCGTCATATACAGACACCAACCAGGTAACCCACACCTGTCTCCTGTCACTTCATAAAAATTAGCTTTATAATTTGTGGTAATGCTTCAGTTACACAAACGTGCCTTGCAACAACAGCACGACTAGAGGAAAACCAAACTGCTCTTCTGTGAATCTGAGTAGTTTATTGCCATTAAACATCAGATGTTAAGTGAAATTAGAAGCAGCTCCTTGGTAGCAGAATGTAGAATAAATAACAATAAAAACAAATTCTATATAGCACCACTGCCTTTCCTATGAAGGAGTATTAGGGTGCCATTAAGAAAAAAGCAAAACAAAACATTGTTGTGAGAATAAAGTCAAAATTTTGAAATGTGTAGATTACAGCTGTTTCAAGACAAACTGCCACGGCTGCTATACCATCTACATATATATATATGTATATATATATATATATATATATATATATATATATATATATATATATATATATATATATGGTGTATATACATTCTGCTTTGTGTAGATGAGCGGTGAAGTTGCTACTTCAGACATCAGTTTCATCACTAGGAAGTGATTTCTCTTTAAGCACATAAACACAGTGGTGATGAGCAGGGCGCCATGAGGAGGAGAAAGGCAACCAGTCCTAATGCTCCATCCTACCTCTCTGTATGACCCAACTTCTAGTACGCTGGGCCTGCACAGCTCACTTGGATTGTTTGTGGTACAGATTGAAAAAAGTACTGGAAACATTAGCATCACACAGTTGTTCATCCACATATACACAATACAAATGTCTCATTCCCCCACATCGCTAACATGCTCCTTTGGAGTGAGATGTGACTGTGGTTGTCAGCATGAATCTCCAGGTAGGCTGTGCGTGAAACTAAACCTTGGTCAGCTGGAACTAACAGTCCCACAGCACCGAGCACCACAGGAAGCAGAATCCTGAAAGGATCTTTCACAGATACCTTAATACCACGCTACCATCTGAATGTTGCAGTAGAAATCAAGACTTATCACAGCAGGCAGCATTTTCTAATCTTCTGTGGTCTAATTTTGGTGAGCGTGTGTGTGAATTATACCTTCATTAGATCAGAAGTGTCAGAAATACTCAGCAACAACAACATTATTATTAATAACAATAATTACAATTATAATTCATAATATACATTTTTAGAAGTTGATAGGGAGACTGCTACCACACTGAAAATCTCCCGTTAGCATTAAAGTAGGTCCATGATGGACCTCCACAGAAAATTAGCATTCAAATGTAAATAACCCAGTTTTGTCCAGTTTCAGCCACCAGACACTCTCAGCTTTCACAGTTTGTTTTTTGTGATTTTGTGTGAAATCATAACACAACGTTGTTGTTGACGGCTATTTTTTTTAACATTTACATATGTGTGTGCAAGAAAATGCCGCTTCACTGTAAATGTGTTGGAACCGATTATCAGAGATGTGAATTTGGGAGCTCCTGAAATGCACTTATAAGTACTTGTTTACTGAAGTCAAAGCTTTGTTTGTGGAGAGCACAAGAGTTTTTAAGGATTACAATTTGAATCACCATTACTAGACTAAGCACGCACAGGAATACAAAAACTAACGAAGAGCAGAAATGGACATCTGAGCTCGAAAGCAACAAGGACTTTTTGCCAAGTTACTCATCCAGCGATGGAGCAGTCAAAACCAGCTTTGTGATTTTAAACAGAATCACAGAAAACCCCAGTATCCCACTGTCTGAGGAGTGTTTGGTGGGGTCTGATGGCTGAAGCTCCCTGAGTACATTTGAGAATGCATCCCTCGCCACATGAACCATAAAAAGAGGGGTCAGAGATACTGCAGGAAATCTGGAGCTTAGACAACAGACTAGAGAGTTTGACTTTTGATGTCCGTATGAGTTATGTTTTTGATTATCAGTGACAGTGAACTACACCCTGTAGGAGATCCAGTGTTGGTGGATGAGACAGAAGCTGCATCCTTCCTGTCCCGTTCACTGCTCTATAACAGCTGGGACTTTGAGCTGGTTGTGCCTGGTGATGTGGAGAGGGAGTGCATGGAAGAGATTTGCAACTACGAGGAAGCCAGAGAGATTTTTGAGGACACTGCGAAGACGGTGACTCTTCTTTGACTGTAGAACCTGTTTTTAATCTGGAGTCTTAGAATGAAAAACTATCAATTTAATTTAACAATTATTTACACTTTTATCACCTAAATATACATGTTTTTTTTATTTTAATATTTAAAATACAAAACCTTTTCTCTTAGTATTTGAGCAATTTGACTTAACTTATTCAAGGTGACCTCTTCATTTAATCTTCATTGGCTTCCATTTCTAGGAAAAATTTTGGAAAACGTACACCAATCAAGGTAATACTTTAGCATCACTATGCTAACCTTTTCATTTCATTGTTCAAATGTGCATACTAATGACGAATGTATTTTTTGTAGTAGTTGGGATGACACTTTCTTTTTTCCATATTGCTATTTTTTGTCGATTGTATATTTTGTATATTTTCTAATTTTGCTGTTTTATCTACGTCTTCAAACCTCCAACAGTATCACGACTGAAGTCATTGCTGTAGTGATTGGCTACAGATTGTCTGACTGAGTAACAGGAGAACTATTGAAGAAACATTTTTTGAGTGGGGTGATGATGTTTGTCTTTGAAGGTAGTGCAAACAGACTGGACGTGTCAGGTCTGGTGGCAGGGATCCTGGCTGTACTAGTGTCTGCTGTAATTGCCACGGTGCTGGGAGTGTACTGCTACAAAGCCAAGAAAAAGGGTGCACGGAGGTCTGGCCGGTACGTTTGCTCCGATGTGGATCATCTGGTAACAGAGAAATGTGGAACAAAGTGACACCCTAACCGACACCAGTAACATTTCCCAGTAAAGTCTTTTACAAACCAGTAGACCATTAAAAAAAAATACAAAGTAGACAAGAAGACAATATTAATCCCTTAATCTTAATCCAGAGTTTGTGCAAATTTATAATTATTTATTGTTATTTTTCCCTTAAAGGTCCAGGGGATGTGGGAAAGTAACACAAAGTGTCCGGGTTGAAAAAAGGAGACATGAAGGCAGAATTGTTTATTAAAGTTTATTAATATTTTTATTAGTAATTAAACCAAAAGAGATGGACAAACCACTGTCACCTTAAAAAATGAAAGAACAAAACTCAGGTATGGCTCACTAAAAATTGAAGCAAGTCAAAAAACTTTAAATGACAGAAAAATACAGAACTCACAGTCGTAGCATGGATGCATCAGAGAGCAACTTGGGGTTAGTATCTTGTCCAAGGATATGTGGCTATGTGTCGACCAGAGAAACCAGGGCCTGAACCACCAACCTTCTGATTACTAGATGACTTGCTCTACCGCCTGAGCCACAGTCACCCCATCAAGGCTCACTGGGACTAGAACTCTCCTTTTTTTTGGACCTAAGTACTTTTGCTTTAATGGTGAGTAGAGTCAGCTGTACCAGAATCACAGCAAAGATTTCTGGCACAACTTCACCTGCTTCCAAGGTGCATGGAGAGGATGAAAGAATTCACAAAGCAGGAACTCCAGCAACACTTAAGGGAAGATGAACAACTTTAATAATTGACCAACGCGTTTCGGCTTGTGGCCTTCATCAGGGTCACAAGCTGAAACGCGTCGGTCACTTATTAAAGTTGTTCATCTTCCATCCAGAATCAGAAAACTTTATTGATCACTAAGGAAATGATGTAGGTTACAGTTGCTCCAAGACACTAACAGACTAAAAAATTAAACAATACAATTTGTCACAGACTTTACAAATTTAAGAAATAGCACTAATTTATGCAAATCACTCAGTTATACCTATAAGGATTAGGAATAGGTGGCACCTAAGGCAGGGCACATGCTTAGTGTCTGACCTCACAGATGTGCTTCAGGAAAAATGGTCGAAACCTCCTGAACCTTCTCTGGAAAACCTTCCCAGAAGAGTTGAAGCTGTTATAGCTGCTAACGGTGGGCCGGCATCATATTAATCCCATGGATTAGAAATGGGATATCAGCCCAGTTTACATGACCAAATACAGGCAGACGACTAAATACTTTTGGCAATATAGTGTATAAACATTTTCACGTTTTTATGTTTGTTTATTAGCAATACAGCAACTAAAGGGGTTTAAAATTGGCGTGTTGTGCTGTGTGCTGTTCCAGACCTCCAGTACAAATTGCAGTAGATGGGCATACATCAGCTCCGGAGACGGTGCCCCTAGGTGGGATCACTGCACCCGGTCTGCCTAGCTACAACGATGCCCTGAACCACAGTGGGCAGCACGATGCTCCACCACCACCATATTCAGGGTAAGTGGAAGGCAAAGCGTGCACACACAAGGAACACTGGAAAGACTGACTACCAAGAGTACTAAGACATTCTGGTGAGAGAAGCACAACACATGTTGTGTATTTATACAGGGGAAGGTGACTAATTGGAAACAGGTGTAACAAATTCAACACAAGTGAAACTGATTGAGTAAAGACACAATTACAAAGAAGGGAAAGCAAGCAGGTTGCAGATGAGTGTTTAATTTAACTGTCAAATGTACTCATGTTTGCAGTAAATGAAATGGCATACAAATTTGAAATATTTGTATAGATATTGGCACTTGGTGTCCCAGGCAATGTCTAAATAACTTTGGTCCACTTATCTAGAAGATGAAGAACATGGAACCATCCATATATGCACTACACTGATTATAGTATGATAATCAATGACAATCATGATGCGAGAAAGTCTATATGAGTGGTGTAAAGTGGTGTATGCAGTGGTGTTTGCAAGTGTATGGTATGTGTTGTATGTGCACATCGAAAATGAAATGATACTTCAAACAATACCAAATGTGTGTGATGGCATGAAGAAAGCAATCACACATTCACTTCAATTCAATCCAATTTTATTTATACAGCTCAAAATCACAACAACAGTCATATTGTGCAGTAGATCCTACAACAATACATACAGAGAAAAACCCAACAATCATATGACCCCCTATGAGCAGCACTTTGGCGACAGTGGGAAGGAAAAACTCCCTTTTAACAGGAAGAAACCTCCAGCAGAACCAGGCTCAGGGAGGGGCGGGGCCATCTGCTGCGACCGGTTGGGGTGAGAGAAGGAAGACAGGATAAAGACATGCTGTGGAAGAGAGACAGAGGTTAATAACAGATATGATTCAGTGCAGAGAGGTCTGTTAACACATAGTGAGTGAGAAAGGTGACTGGAAAGGAAAACTCAATGCATCATGGGAATCCCCGGCAGCCTACGTCTATTGCAGCATAACTAAGGGAGGATTCAGGGTCACCTGGTCCAGCCCTAACTATATGCTTTAGCAAAAAGGAAAGTTTGAAGCCTAATCTTGAAAGTAGAGATAGTGTCTGTCTCCTGAATCCAAACTGGAAGCTGGTTCCACAGAAGAGGGGCCTGAAAACTGAAGGCTCTGCCTCCCATTCTACTTTTAAATACTCTAGGAACAACAAGTAGGCCTGCAGAGCGAGAGCGAAGTGCTCTAATAGGGTGATATGGTACTACAAGGTCATTAAGATAAGATGGGGCCTGATTATTTAAGACCTTGTATGTGAGGAGCAGGATTTTGAATTCTGGATTTAACAGGAAGCCAAAACAGGAGAAATCTGCTCTCTCTTTCTAGTCCCTGTCAGGACTCTTGCTGCAGCATTTTGGATCAGCTGAAGGCTTTTCAGGGAGTTTTTAGGACTTCCTGATAATAATGAATTACAGTCGTCCAGCCTGGAAGTAATAAATGCATGAACTAGTTTTTCAGCGTCACTCTGAGACAGGATATTTCTAACTTTAGAGATGTTGCACAAATAGTTCAGTTCTCTTATTTGCTTTCAAACTAACTGCACCCCCGTCTTTCTAAAAACCTGTGCCTTTTTTTTAATAGGAACGGAAACAGCTGGACGTTCATTGATCATGCTGCTATTCACAAAGTTTTTCTTCCTGTCTTTGACCACAGGGGTGCGCCGTCGGTATCTGCTGATCCAGGTGACAATGAATGAAAGCCCTGCAGGTCACTGTGTGAAACCTTAACACTGATGGTTTGGGGAAAATTTCTGGTTGTTTTTTTAAAATATACATATTTTCCTTAGGAGTGCAGTTCAAAGACAGTCCCAAAGTGGACCATAGCTAATCATTTGTCACTAGTCTGATCACTTAAGACTTCGTTTTTGTGCTGTGTTTGTGCATTTGTGTTCAAGAAAAACCAAGATGCATTTTATATAATAAATCATGTAACAATTTCACATGCCTCCAGTCATTGTATAACTTGTTGTGACTTGCAAAGCCAGCAAATAAGCATGCAAGTAGTAGATTAAATTAGAATCACGAGGAAGTTCTTCTGGACATGTTTGCAGCCTTTGTGTTGTTTGTCATAGAAAGGTAAAACTGCTGTAGAAGCTTAGTTTTTGTTTTGTGTTTACAACTGTCTACAGCACACTGCGAAGGCGTGCATGCGTGTAAGAGAGAAGGCGATCACGCCAGCCAAGTCATTCTTCTTAAAAATGGCGTCATGTGAACAAAACGCAAAAAGAGCGAGTAAGCTGCAGCTATCGGAGCAGCGTGAATATAATTTCTCTTACTAAAGCTGCGACGTGGAGCATCTGTTCGGCTTAACACGAGAGACAATAGACAGTTAAATATACGGGGAGAGGAGGGGGGAGGAGGTGCTCCTGTCCGCCGCGGTTCCCCACACCGCCCCCGATCCCCACTCAGTCTACAGGCTTGTCAAGCAGAGGAATAAACAGAATCGGGCGCTGGAAGTGAAGATATCCCCCCTCCCTCCCGCTCACTATCTGTGCATCTTCATCCAGCTCTTTCTTTCATGGAGAGGAATTATCCCGCTTCGGGCTTCGGAGATCTGGGGACTGGGACGGGATGGAGTTACGAGAGATCGGCCAAAGCAAGGTAAGCTTCGGTGGCCGAAGCATGGGGAGCGCTGTTTTCTGACTGCCGGTAAGCTTAAGAGGCTCTGACAATGCCGTGGCATAGCGCTGACTGCGCCGAGTATTTAGCCCGGCTGCACGGCCACCAGGCTCAGGTACAGCCAGCCGTTATTTTATTGGGGGCAAGGTTAACAGTGATGCGAAGACGGACAGGGGTGGACCGCGGGTTGGTAGAGGACGGTTTCGTTATTGAACAAACCAAAACAGTCCCCCCACATACACACATGTATGAGTGCATCAGTGTTCAGCACTGCATTGTCTCCGCTGCACACGAACACAAGCATGACAGCCACGGTCACCGGGCATAGTCCACACATGAAAGCGTGTATGCAAACGAAACACTGTGCCAAACACAGCGCAGTCATGGATACACGAGCCTTTATTCAGTGAAACTAACGCACTGCCGTTTCTCTGTAAAAGAGAAACTAATTCATTAACAATAGAACTCAGTGCGGTTGTTTGACTACAACACACAGGCTGGCAGCTACTATTAAGCTGACATTAGCCGCTATCATTAGGCATCTTGAGCATTACCCAGTGTCTGACAGCACATTTCTCCGGAGCAGACAGCGTGCAGCCTGTCCCCATCACATTACCAACCTGCCCAATAAGGCGGTGACTTCAATGGTAAATAAGAAAAAGCAAAGAAATTCCGCTGCAGGCAGTGATCAGCTGATTCCTTATATGGCTGTGCTGTTGTATAAAACACGGTCTTATTAAAGTTAGCAAGCTCCTGTTAGCCTAGCTGCACATTAGTGGTTGCCTTGGCAACAACAACAGTCTCAGAGCGCTTCTCTGTTAGCACTGGCTCTTATTAAGTCTGGCAGTATGACTGTGATTTGAATAGATTAGTTATAGATTTATAAAAACAAGGCAAAGACTGATTCTTATGCCATCATGTGTATAATATTTGTCTTCATATTTTAACTGTAACGACATGAAGTCAGAAGTAAAGTCTTGTTCACAGTCAGATGTTCATGTAACGTACACAGCAGCCTTTCAGTGTCTCGCAGTGTAAACATTACATCAGACAACTCTTGTTCCCAGTGTCTTTTCAGTGAATCCCTTCAGTGAAATTAAAAAAAACCACTCTCCGTTGAAAAGCACTTATTCTTGATTCCCCCGAGATGCTGCATTTGACTCCTCTCTCAGTGTTAGTCTCCTCCTGGGACTAGAGTGAAATGGGTGCACGCAGCACCTCCTTGTTTGCCTGCCACTCATAATAGACACGTAATAAGACATCTGTTGACTGGAGCTAATAGCATGACTAATGTTTCTTCACTAGTCTGTAAATGGTAAATGGACTGGTTCTTATAGAGCATAATAGACACATTTTTACTCTGAGCATACAACTAATTCATTCACCCAAGAACTTTTTCTAACATTCATACACATTCACACTCCAAAGGATGCATTGCCCAGGGACACTTGACATGCAGATTGGTGGAGCCTGGGATCGAACCACCAACCTTCCAGTTAGTAGCTGACCTGCTCTACCACCTGAGTTACAGCCACCCACCCCGCAAGTCTGTATTGGGCTGAGCTGTGTTTTAGCTCAGTGAGATGAGCAGCCGTTCTGAGACTGGGAGGCTGGAGTTCAAATCCCGCTTATGGCAACATTTCTTTCAGTTCACAGTTAAACTTTTTAAACTATTTTCAGCACAAATCCCAGCTTTTTCAGCTGTTTTCAGCAAAAACCTCTTTCCAGCAGAAATTCTGCTGATTCACCTCTTTTCAGCAGAATTTTAAATCTGGGACTCTCCACCATTTGACCCTTAGAACTGAAGAAGCTTCTCGGATGAGAGGTGAAACGTCTTCAAGCAACTCAAAGAAGTCCAGACGCTTTTCTTTCCAAGCTCCTTAGTCTCTCATTCCTTATATCAAGACTGGAGATCACACTACTGATTTCAGTTCATTTAATATGTGAGTGCACAGATTCATTCTCAACTGGACATAAACAATGATCAAAGGTTGTATATATGATGAATTCATCCAATCCCAGCCTCTAACACAGTGCGCTGAATCTTAGCTTTGAATGTCCAGTATATTCTAATCAGTGCAATTTAAGCATTCACTGAACCTACAGTATCTACACCTGTGTGGCAAATGTCGTGGTAAAGACACAGATAATGAAATTTAATTATTAATACAATATACATCATGAAAAATCGAAAGCTGAAATTGATTCAGTTTAGTACTTTTCTCTGTATACTCTGTGATTATATTCAGCACTTTCCACTTCTCCCCCAAAACATGCCTTCCTTCTAAAGTTGTCATTTCAAGAATATTTTCTGTGTTGAGCTGTGCATGACTTGATGTTTGTCACACGAGTCACGGTCATCCTAGTGGGCCCTGGTACTGTCATTATTATGTTCTCTGCAGACAGTTTTGGCTGATGCATATTTGTGCCATGATACGCTGTGTCCAGGCAGGAATTGGACCCAAATGCCTGTGTCTGCCACCGGCTCACTCCTTGGCGGCCGCTTATCGGGGTCCTGGAGCCTGGGGCTCGCTCGGGCCACTTCGGAGGTGGGGTGCCCCCGGCCTCTCGGCCTGGGGCTCGGTCACTCAGGCACAGCTGGCTGCCGGCGGAGCTCACGGGCGCTCACTGCAACTCCCCCTGGCTTCTGCTCCGCGGCTGCTGAGTGAGCCCTCATCTGGGACTCTCCTCAGCTCTTTCTGGGACAGTGGCGCGGCTGCCCCTCTGTTGGTCTTCCTTGGTCTCTTGTGTTCTGGGGGCCTCTGGATGTCTGGAGTTTTGATCTCCTCCATACCTGCTTCATGCCCTGGAGGACGGGGCTGTGGCCCCCCCACACCCTCTAGCAGATCATTACATGAAGGAACCTTTTAAAAACAAGCGCGTCCATGCTCACAGGTGTACACACGGGTGATCACACCCACAAACTACACCCTTTTTGGCTCCTACCTCAAAGCACACTGTGCGCTGTCGATCTTATGTGCTGCACAATAATGTTTAATATTTAGTATTTACTGTTACATTCCCATAGATCATCGTGATGTTGTTTATTGTATTGCTCTCTTTTTCTTCTTTCTTTCTCAACAGGTGATCCAGGTGATTGATAGATGCATTTTTTGTCTGCTTATTTTGTTGGTTTTTGTTTTTTGCCCTTTATCCCCGTCCCTCTTCCCCGCTGTTTTTCTTTCCCTTTCTTTCTCTCCTTTGTTTTCCCCACTCAAGTCTGTCCCGTATTTAACAAGTGGAATAAAAAAAAGGTGAATCAAATAGACCATTACGGCAAGGTCAGGATGGTCCATTTGGTAAAGTAAATCCGTTGGGCATCTTTCTTCGCCTTTAGACAATAATTCTGATGCAAAAGAACCAAACGGGACAGGCAAGAAATAAAAAAAAGGAATTGGACCCAAATGCAAGCTCACGGAGCTGGGAAATACTAACTCGGAGAGACACAGGGAAAGTCACACAGTTTGAGGAAGGACGTGACACAGAACTGAGGGAGACAGACATAAATACACAGAAGGATAACGAGGGACGTGGGAGCACATGGGGAGCACAGGTGACACTGATAATCTTAATGAGACAGGGCAGGCGCAAACACAACGTGACGTACACTGACGGGAGCTATCAAAGTAAAACAGGAAGTACACAGAGACACAGACAGGAATGGAAGAGAGAACACAGGGAGAGCACAGACATAGCAGGCTGGGGAAAACACAAGGAGGAGAAATGAGGCATGGGAACTCACAGATACACGGAGGGGGGACACGGGGTAAGGAAACGAGGGGCAATCTAATATGCAACATCTAAACAGAATAACCTAGTGACTCAGCTATGCTCCAATCCCTCCATATTGTGGCCAATCAGATGCCAGGATATAGGATAATATCATTATGTGAAAAACAGAGAGGGTGAGAGACGCGACAGTCAAGTGGAGCGTGCGTCTGTCCTCTCAGTGAGTGAGTGAGACAGTAGACAGCGGTGAGGAGGGCTGTGCGAAAGCAAAAACACATAAATGTGCCTGACACCCGTAAACGAAGCAGCAGCTGGCTGCAGTTTAAAGACTTTTTTTGTCTATGTTGAATTAAGGAACTGACAAGAATAGCTGACATAGATAATAAGGGAAGAGGAGGAGAAATAAAGGCAGTGGATTCTAATCTGGAGTGGCATTAATACAACCAGGGAGGGGCACTGGGGTCGTGGTAGAGTTCTATGTGGAAACGTAGAACTGGTCCATGGTGATGACAGCATGGGAGGTCTTGAGTGAAGCTTCATTGAACTGGGAATTCAATTTATTTATCCATCCATCCATCCATTCGCGTCCGCTTATCCTGTTCAGGGTCGCAGGGGGCGCTGGAGCCTATCCCAGCTGTCATAGGGCGAGAGGCGGGGTACACCCTGGACAGGTCGCCAGTCTGTCGCAGGGCCAACACACAGAGACAGACAACCATTCGCACTCACATTCACTCGCACATTCACACCTATGGGCAATTTGGATTAACCAATTAACCTATCCCCACTAAGTGCATGTCTTTGGACAGTGGGAGGAAGCCGGAGTACCCGGAGAGAACCCACGCAAACACGGGGAGAACATGCAAACTCCTCACAGAAAGACCCCGGCCTGATGGTGGAATTGAACTCAGGACCTTCTTGCTGTGCGGCAACAGTGCTAACCACCGTGCCACCGTGCTGCCCGTGTCAATTTTTTATACAGCGTCAAATCACAGCAACAGTCGTCTCAAGGTGCTTTACAGTGGGGCAAAAAAGTATTTAGTCAGCCACCGATTGTGCAAGTTCCCCCACTTAAAATGATGACAGAGGTCAGTAATTTGCACCAGAGGTACACTTCAACTGTGAGAGACAGAATGTGAAAAAAAAATCCATGAATCCACATGGTAGGATTTGTAAAGAATTTATTCGTAAATCAGGGTGGAAAATAAGTATTTGGTCACCTCAAACAAGGAAAATCTCTGGCTCTCACAGACCTG